GAGAGAGAGGGAGAGAGAGAGGGAGAGAGAGAGGGAGAGAGAGAGGGAGAGAGAGAGGGAGAGAGAGAGGGAGAGAGAGAGGGAGAGAGAGAGGGAGAGAACGAACCCCAAGCAGGCTCTGAGCGGAGCACGTGGCTCAATCTCGACGAGATCATGACCTGAGCCAATATCAAGAGTCAGACGCTTAACCACCTGAGCCACCCAGGTGGATCCGGTGCTCCAGTTGATTAAAAATTCAGCAAAAGACAGAATAAAACCACAAAAACACACCAGCTCTGATTAACAAAAATGTACAAGACTGGCAATATCAAGTACTGGCAAGGATATGAAGCAAAATGAACTCACACACACAGTTGGTGGGAATATAAACAGGCATGATGATGTCAGCAAACAAATTAGTATAATCTAGCCAAAGTGAAGACTGGAGGAACTTAAGACCCAGCATTGCCACTTCCGGCTCTATTCTCTAGGGAAAGCTTGCTTATGTGCTCCAGCCCGCATAAACAGGAGAATCTCCAGGACAGCTTGGTTTTTACCAACACTGGAACAGGATCCCAAAACCTGAGAATGGATAAATTATGACTTAGTCGAAGAGTGGGCAGTATGTAACTACACAAACAAACTACAGCTCACGAGCAGCGTCAGCAAATCAGGATAAAAAGAGTACATACTGCATGAATCCATTTGTAGAAGTTCAAAAATGAAGCTAAAGTATATGAATTATACAGGTAAGAATCTATGTGATGAACAGGGAATTATAAGTTCCAAATTCATGGAACTGATTACCTTGGTAGCAGGTGGAAAACAGGAGATACAATCAGAATGAGGCATACAAGAGGATGTCGAAGATGTTGAGAAATTAACTACTGAGTTGAGTGGTGGGGATTCAGGCGTTCTTTTTACTAAGCCATAAAAATACATCACATACTCTTCTGTATTTGTAGGTCAAAATAATTAAAGTGAAAATTTTTTAATGCCTAATTTTTGAGAAAGAAACAGAGTATGAGTGGGGGAGGGGTAGAGAGGAAGACACAGAATCTGAAGCAGGCTCCAGGCTCTGAGCTGTCAGCACAAAGCCTGATGCGGGGCTCGAACTCATGAACCATGAGATCATGACTGGAGTGAGGTCGGACGCTTAACCAACTGAGCCACCCAGGCGCCCCTAAGATATATATATATTTTTTTTTAAAAAAACACTTATAGTCTGCAGATCCCCTCATTAAACCTTAAGCATTAGGCCTCATTAAACTCTTGCTTATTACTCTGTAGGACTGTTTTCTAGAGTGACCTGGGGACACTCCTACCATGGGAATGCAGGCATAGCAGGCCCAGGGGAAGTAGGGGATTAAGTGAAAGTCTACATACTGCATAACAACCACCCCCCTTCCCTTTCTCAAAACTGATCACCACATTCCTTAGCTATCATCTCATGAAGTTCAATATATCAATTTTAACCTATCACAAGCCAATTCCCTATGGGTTACTATATCCCACAGATGTGCTCTCTCACTGCTCTATGGCCCTACTGTGTCCCCGTATGAACGACACGGCCTTCCCGGCTGGGAGCGCAGCACTCGTGTTCTCCATGGAGAGCTCACGGCAGTAACACTGTCATCATCATTACGTGCTTAACTTTTGGGTGAGCTGTTGGTGGTCTGGGTGTGTAATGGTGTATTAACTTAGAAAACATAGTCTGTGACAAAAATGCAAGATTATCTGTTTTGGAATTGATCATGTGATAAAAGAGCCAAAAAAAAAAAGGTTAAGACTTACCTCTGCCACTTCCTTTTGAAAAGTCAATGTCATCTGGGTTCTGCCATAAACAAAAGGTCCATCTCTACAAGAAACATTTTCAAGCCACTTGATAATCAGTGGAGTCGATACATTAAAGGGCAGATTTCCAATAATATGTACATTTGGAGGATCTGGTTAGCAGAAGAAAAAATAACTTGTAATGATTTCATCAAACCATTCTGAATATTATTTTAGTTAAGAGTAAAATCAAGTTGGATACTAATAGTATCACACAAAAATATATGAAAAGACATGGCTAAATATTTTTCAGTCCATTTATTCTTCAAAAGCAATGTTTTCTCATCATCAGCTTTGAATTATTAAGAAAAACATTCTACCTTAATTAGTGTTCAAAGTCCTCAGGTTTTCTGGCTTAGGAAAAACATGAAAAGACTTGGTGTGAGGAAAAAGGTAATATGATTTGGACATGAGGAGGTCACAGTGTCCACAGGGCACCCGAGGGAAGATGCCGGAGGATCAGATGCCCAGGAAGGGGACACGGGCTGCGTACAGAGCTGTAAGTGTCTGCAGCACACAGTAGGGAAGTGGCACCACAGGCACAGAGTAATCTGGGTAAATCCGGAGCACACGAGCAGGTGCTCAAGAAGAAACATCGCAGGAACAACATCTAAGAGGCAGCTGGAAAAGTAACCACCAGCAAGCAACAGCTGGAGAAAGTCACACAGTGTAAAAGGAGGAATGGAAGGACCTGTATCAGGAAGACAGGAGCAGAGAAAATGTCCAGAAGAAGAGTAGGGAGCAGTCAGACGAAGGCCTGAGAACCCAGTCACGTAAGGTCTGAAAGAGGAAATCAGGAGGTCACTCTGACTCCGGTGTGACTGGGCGGGACTGGAAACCTGAAGGCAGTGTGCTGAGAACATGCCGGAAGGCGGAGACAGGCAGTGCCCACCTCTCTGCAGGAGCCTGGCGGCGCGGAAGCAGTTAGGTGAAGGGGCGCCAGCAGCACAGGTTCCGAAGGGCTTTACAGTCAAGTAACACCCCATCTATTCTGTCTTCCAAAGAGATGGCACACAGTAGGGACCCAGTAAACCGTCTAAAATGAAGACTGCCTCGTCTGGTCACAGAACGTGAGACAGTGGTAACTGGGTATGGCTTGGCTTACCAAAACATTTCTTTTTTCACCATTTGGAAAAAGTAACACTTCATAGTTTATCCCCTCATTACATGGTATCATAAAAATAGCAAGTTTATTTGAAGAGAACCATAAACGTTTGAAAAGTATGAGACAAAATAGAAGAAAAGGTAACTAGATTTATCACTTTGGAAAAGAGGAGAAAAGCAGAAAATATTATAATGTACACTACATATTTAATTCTGTTTTAATAATATGTAATATAAACGTATAACATTTGTAATATGTAAAGGCGTAAGTAGTAAGTACTATAAATAATTATAAAAGAAAATAAGAAAACCAACACAAATCACTTACCATCTTCCCACCGTCTTTTAAGACTTTCTGGAAAAGCCCTTTCTACCTTATATGTCAACACATCTCCATGGACAATTCTCAGTTTTCCAGGTGCTGCATCGGAAAGCATCTAGTTTACAAAAAGGTCAATAAAATGAGCTCATACTTTGGAGAACAGTGAAATGCACACACACACACTGTATACACACGCACGCACACACCCCTGCACCAAACATAAAACTTGATTCTTTAAATCCATGGTTTAAAAAACAACCACCACCCAGACGCAGTCCCTGAAGCCTCTGAAGTTGAAAACGCAGGAGTGAATACATAGGTCACTAAGAACAAACACACCTGCTAAGGCAGATTCTAAGGAAGAGGTGACCCTCTTTCCACATCAGGTCTCCCCTCAAGCAGCTCAGACATCCTTGGCTCCAAAGCAGGGAACTTTTGCCCGGAGCACCCCTTGGTCCTGCGGATTTTCTCTCCTCATCCTCTCTCTGCCTAATTCTGGCCACTGAGAGGAAGGATGAAAGAAACATCATAGAAGTCAGAGAAGAGACCCTGGACCAAGGCACCCACTTTGTAGGTCCCTCCCGCCGCCCCCGGGTAAATTGTGCCGGCACAAGCTTCTGTGCAGCATATGACACACTGCCCTGCAGTTGTGCAGACGGGCTGCTTCTCCCTGTGAGGACACAGGCACCTTCAGGGCAGCACCTGTTTCTCATCTGTCTTACTGTCCACTGCAGCTACAGAGTGCATAGTTGGTGCCTCACATTTTTTGGTAAGTGAATGATTAGGTGAACATTCAACTATAAAACTGGAAACTTCCCCTCCCAGCTGGAGATTTAAGTTTTCCAAAATTTGTAAGGTCAAGAAACTTTTCAAAAAGTTATTTTGCTGATAAATCAGGTAGAATTATACAAGTAACACTTCAAAAATACAGAGCTGAAATGCTTATCCTGGTAAGAAACTGAACATTTTCAGTTTGGGAATCATCTAGTCTGGTGTATTTAGTCATGGTAGTTTAGCAAAAAAAAAAAAAAAGTTGTGTATCTCCAATACTAATGTACTTATGGATTATTTTAAATTACCAAATTTGCTAAAACTTAACCTGAGGAGTTCCAGACAGTAAATCATGGAAAAAATAACTTCCAACATATTATGAATAAAAAAAGGAGATAAGTCTCTTTGGGACAGGCTCTTATTGCATAAAAGCTATGTATTTAATGATTGCATTTACCATTAACGAAGAATAGCAGTTGTTTTCTATAATTATGCTTCACATAATTAAAAAACAAATCTGCACAGCAAAAACAAAGAACTAAAAGCTTATGCTTCATGATTGTATATATAGAAAGTAATAAAGTAGTCAGTAATTAAGACTAAAACAAAAACATGTAAACTTGGATCGCTGGCATTAATATACATGTGCTCTGAAAACGATGTTTGAAATGTTAATTTTTTTCTGCACTGACACACAGAACTGCAGAGCAGAAAACTGGTCTAACCCATATTCACCTTCCTTTCCCAGGTTTAAAGTTGCATTTCTATTCTGTTTCTCTAGGATTCCTCTTCAAACTTAAGTCTCAGTCAATGACAAAGCAAATCCTCCCATTTTCTAAAAAGCCTACCTCCTCCAAGACTACTCTCTAGTTTGATTTTCCCTTTTCAGACTCCCCAACTGAGGAAGGAATGAATACTAGTGACCACAGCTTTATGTGAAAGCCCTGGGGATGAAATGGGGATGAAAAACACTATACAAACTAAAATGATAGTATGAACGATTACAGATAATAGCCATTTAAACACCTAATGATATTCAGCACACACTTTCTAACCAACCACGAACAGAAAATGACGTTTTCATTACCGTGACAACTTTGGAGGACGGTGGAGAGGCGGGAAAGATCACTGTTAGATCCATTCAAGAAGAACGCGGCCGGCTACTCTACACTTTAAAACCTTGATGGTGTTCGTTCATAATGTGCTCAAAGGCACAGCTGACTATGAATGCAGGTACCCAATTATAGTCAAATGAGTATTTTTATAGACACTCAAATTGTTCTATCATTTTTAGTTTTCAATCCTATATCCTTCCAAAATGAGATTTAAGTCAGTTTAGAGTAAAAGGCATTCATTAGATAAGGCTGTAAAAGAAGAAACAGAAAACCAGACGATGAAAGGAGAAGCAGGCATGTAAATCCCACAGGTGTTAGCTTTCACAGTTTATATACTGAATTATAGAATTCTTACTCTCTATTGGAAATAATTATACTAAATCTCCAGAAGAGAAAACATTTTTTTCTCCTAGCATTAGGTTTTGTGAGGGGCATATGGAACAAAACAGAGAATGCCTTTAACAAAAATAAGGAAACAAATGCAGTATTCTTCATATGCTCACTTAAAAAAAAATCTCTCTCTTCTAAGTCAAGATCTTAGAGGTAGCTTTTCTGCAAGGGGCAAGCACCTATGGTCCATCTAGGTAATATGTTGGTCATCTAATTTGACAAGGAAATACAATTTTAATTTATTTATATTTACTTTGAGAGAGACAGGAAGAGAGAGAGCCCACAAGCAGGGGAGGCGCAGAGACAGAGAGGGACAGAGGATCAAAAGTGGGCTCTGTCCTGACAGAAGAGAGACCAATGCCGGGCTCAAACTTAAGAATTCAGGTTATGACCTGAGCTCAAGTTGGACACTTAACCAACTGAGCAACCTAGGTGCCCCGGATGAGGAAATAATTAATGCAACTTTTGGAACTTATGCACAACTAGAAATTCCTTGAGAACAAAGAACTATACAGAATGGCCATTTTGTATGTTTTATGCCACCTTCTCACGGTAGGGGAGGGGCTCATAGCAGCCCACATTGTAGAGGGAGTTAAAGCCTTCATCCCACAGCCTGGTGCTGTTACTTTCCTCCTGACCTGTTAGAGAAGGGACGTGAACATTGCTGAAGTAAGTGCCAGGCAAACTATAGGAGAATGAAAGAATCTGTGATACAGAATATGGCAGGTGAAAAACAACTTTTATTCTCCTGTAGAATACAACAGAAAATATTAGTGCTATTATTCAAAAGGAATTTAAGATAATGTCACAAGTTGTTTTTTTTTTTAGGATGAAGATGACAGCATGATTTCAAAAAGTCCACTTGTTCTATTTTTTAAACAGGACCAAAACATGCATAGCAGAAACTCACTTACTCAGCCTCATCAAAGATTTAGAGATTTAATAAACTTTCTAGTCAAGCAGTGCTTACTCTTTTAAGTGTGAACATTTCTTAAAAAGGAACTTCTATAGTATCCTATCCTTTCCTTGTCTGATTGCTATGGCTAAGATTTCCAGCATTACGTTGGATAAAAATGGGGAGAATGGACATCCTGGTCTCGTTCCAGATCTCACAGGAAAGTTCTCAGTTTTTCACAATTTAGCACAGCATTGGCTATGGATTTTTCATAATATGGCCTTTATGATGTTGAGGTATGTTCCCTCTAAACCTACTTTCTTGAGTTTTTATCGTGAATGGATGTTGTACTTTGTCAAATACTTTTTCTGCATCTATTGAAATGATCATAGATTTTTATTCTTTCTATTGATGTGATGTATCACACTGACTGATTTGTAAATATTGGACCACCCTTGCATTCCTAGACTAAATCCCACTTGATCATGGTGAATGATTTTCTGATGAAAAATAATGAAGTAGCAGAAAGAAAAGTTAAGGAAACCATCCCATTCACAGCTGTACCAAAAATAACAAAATTCCTAAGAATAAACTTAACCAAGGAGATAAAAGACCCATCCTCCAAAAACTATGAAATCCTTATGAAAAACATTAAAGACGACACAAGTGGAGAGATATTTCACACTCATGGATTAGAAGAGCCAACGTGGTTAATATGTTCATACTACCCAAAGCAATCTACAGGTTCAACGCAGTCCCTATCAAAATAACTAACATTTTTCACAGAACTAGTACAGATTACTCAAAATTTGTATAGAATCACAAAGACCCAAAATAGCCAAAGCAATCTTGAAAAAGAACAAAGCTGGAGGTTATCACAATCATAGATTTCAAGATATACTGTAAAGCTACAGTACCCAAAACAGTACGGTATTGGCAAAAAAGAAAAAACAAAAACAAAAACAGACACATGGATCAGTGGAGCAGAATAGAGAGCCCAGAAATGAAACCAAGTTTGTAAAGCCAATTAATCTTTGACAAAGGAGGCAAGAATACAGTGGGGGGAAAACATCTTCTTCTCAACAAATGTGCTGGGAAAACTGGACAGCTACATGCAAAAGAGTAAAACTGGACCACTTTCTTGGACCATATTAAAAAATAAAATGGATTAATGGTCTCAGTGTGAGACCTGAAATCACAAACTCCTAGAAGAAAACACAGGCAGTAATTCCTTTGACACTGGCCATAAAAAACATTTTTCTAGATAGGTCTCCTCAGGCAAGAGAAACAAAAACAAAATTAAACTACTGGGACTAACCAAAATAAAAAGCTTTCGCACAGTGAAAGAAACCATCAACAAAACAGAAAGGCAACTTACTGAATGGGAGAGGATATTTGCAAATGGTTTATCTGATATGGGGTTAATATCCAAAATATATAAGGAACGTCTACAATTCAACACCAAAAAAACAAATAATTCTATTGAAAAATGGAAAAATGCCTTTTTCCAAAGCTAGAGATGGCCAACAGACACATGAAAAGATGCTCAACATCACTAATCAGAGAAATGCAAATCACAACCACAATGAAATATCACTTTAGACTCATCAGAATGGCTAAAATAAAAACCACAAGAAATAACAAATGTTGGCACCATGGAGAAAAAGGAATCCTTGTGCACTGTTGGTGGGAATGCAAATTGGTGCAGCCATTGTGGCAAACAGTATGGAGGTTCCTCAGAAACTTAAAAACAGAATTTCTATATGATTCAGTAATTCCACTATTGGATATTTACCCCCGAAAAACTAAAACAGTAATTTGAAAAGACATATGCACCCCTATATTTTCTGCAGCATTATTTACAATAGTCAAGATATCAAAGTAGCCCAAGTGTCCATGGATAGACGAACGGATAAAGAAGGCGTGGTGTATATATACAACTGA